CTGTAATTCCGGCTACTCGGAAGGCTGAGGCGGAAGGATCGCCGGAGCCCAGCAGGTCGAGGCTGCGGGGGCCGGGAGCAGCCGCTGCACTCCAGTCTGGGCGACAGAGTGAGACTCCAACTCAAAAAAAAAAAAGGAGAGGAGAGGAGTAACATGTTCAGACCTGACTGAGTTGCAGCATAACACAGGAAGGGCTGGAGCAGGAAAGGCATAAACACACATCTTAAAATCAAGACTGCCCTTGTGGGAGGTCTCTAGGATCAAGGAGCAAGAGGGAGTCACGAGAAGCATGTGAGAAGACACCAAGGACAGGGTCCATGGTCAGTGATGCACCAGAGTTCTCTCTCATTCAGAGCCACAAGTGCCCTGCAGCCAGTGATGAGAGGACGTGTGGGATCTGTCACCAGCTCTAACAGGGAGGCCCCAGCAGACAAAGTGTGTTTCTCCCCCACGGACAGCCACTCTCAGGAGAGCCCAGAAGCAGCTTTCAGAGAAACGCAAGGTGCAGCTTTCAGTAAGATGGGCTTCAGCAAATGAAGCTCCTCCTGGCTGACAGGAGGAGAAGTGAGGGCGGGGATGAAGCACGAAGGGAAGGGAAGGGAAGGGCAGGGCCGTTAGAAGGACAGGTGCCTGACTTGAGGAGGGAGGGGCCTCTCAGATGAGAGGCGAGCCTCAACAGCAGGAGTCATGAGGATGAGGGAGACAAGAATATGGAGAAAGAAGGGCTACCTTCACACCAAGGTGTCAAGAACTAGCTAGGCTATTTTCCTTATTTTAAAAGGGGAGTTAAAAATCCCCATTTTACAGATGTGGACACGGAGACTCAGAGGATATTAAAGAAAACAGCTAGCGAGTGACAAAGCCTGATTTTCAGCCAAGTACTGTATGTCAAATACAAACCAAAGCCCAACTGTTCTCAGCCCACATCACACCATCAGTTCCAAGAGATGGCAAAAAAACAGGAATCCTTTCTCATGGCAGTTTTCCTGAAGGTAACAGTAAATGAAAGGAGAGGCTGGTCACACAGCATCCTTGAGCAATACAGTGATTTGCTCCAGGAAGAGGAAATGTACAACAGCTGCATGTGTTCAAACAGAAGGCTCGCGGTGGAAAACAAAGCAATTAAGGAGACAAGATTTATCTCACGAGTATTTCCGAGCACCCACTATGGGCCAGGCACAGCACTAGACAGAAGGAGAGAAGGGCGACTGAAACAGGCAAGGTCCCGCCTCACACTGTGCACAACTCGGTGAGCCATCTTTCATACTGGAGCTGCGGTCTTCTCTCTCGGCTGAACATTATCGTCAATGGAGGTTTAATTAAAAACACAAACATGAAGTGAAAATGGGTAGGAAGATTCTGACTTAGCAGGTCTAAAAAGAGGCCCACAGGTCTCTGCTGCTGTGAAGTCCCACCAGCGTTTCTAAACACTGAGAACCAGCACTCAAGAGTAATGCATTTATCTCCATCTTTCTAATGTATTTCCTTTTATTGACATAAGTTGTTTCCTTCTTTTATATATGTTTAGTTTTACCACAGGACCAGGTTTGTCTTTTTTAAAAAACTTTTTTTTTGTCAGTGGAAAAGAAGTAAATCATTCAAGTAGATTCCCTTAAAAGTGAGGGAATTCTAAAGTAAAGAGATGGGTCTCCTCTAGTAATGAAGACAACTTATCCTAAGTAGAATATGGAAAAATACCACAAGTCACACTTCATGGTTAAATACATATCCAATTCTTGTGCAAACCACGTAGGAACTTAGTATTACCTACAAGTTAATATTAATTAGGTGACACCGTAAGCTTAAGAATTATTTAAGAAATCCCGCATCTTGGGCACAGAAGTCAGCAGTCAACTCCAGCAGACACACAGCAGAAAAAAGCCTTCTGGGATCCTCAGAGCCAACGAGTACATTGAGGCAGACACAACTGAAACGTGATGAGCAACACAATGGCCTCTCTGACTGAGAGGAGCTTCCTGTGCCTGCTCCCCCTGACTCACATTCCCCCTTTCACATTAACAACCAGAAGGCTCAAAACCAAAGCACGGCCCATGGCAAGCAGCTCTATAGGAATCTTTTACATACACCTTACTTGTGGCTTCACCTGATACTTGTCTTCAATTTCCTGTGACATGTTTACTATTTTTGAAAGACTTGTTTTTTAGAGGGGTTTTAGGTTCACAGCAAAATTCAGCAGAAGGTGCAGAGAGTTCCCATTTACTCCCTGCCATCCATCAGCATCCCCACCAGAGTGTATACTTATTACAGCTGAGGAACCTACAAGGGGACGTCATTAACACCCGTAGTTTACCCCAGGGCTCACTCTTGGTGTCATGCATTCTAGGGATCTGGACAAATGGACAATGGCATGTATTCACCGTGACAGCGCCACACCAAACAGTCTCACTGCCCTAAAAATCCTCCATGCTCTGCTTGTATCCCTCCTCCCCATCTTACCCCTGACAACCTCAGCTCTTTTCACTGCCTCCATATTTCTGTCTTTTCCAGGACACCGAAGCACGCAGCATGGAGTCTTTTCAGTTGGGCTTTTTTCACTTAGGAATATGCATTCAAGGTTCTTCCATGTCTTTTCATGGCTTGCCATCTCATTTCTTTTTAGCACTGAATAATATTCCATTGTCTGGATGCACCAAGTTTATATCCATTCATCTACTGAAGGACATCTTGGTTTGGCAATTACAAATAAAGCTGCTACATACATTTGTTGTGTGCAGGTTTTTTTGTGGACATAAGTTTTCAACTCATTTGAGTAAACGGATATTTATTTTTATCCAATATATCAACTCCCTTTCTGAATTCTTACTGAAATGAGTCAGAGTGCAAAAAGTAATACCTCATCTGATTCCTTGTCTTCTGGCTAACCATGTGGAGAGCAGTGCTGTAAGTGACTTTGAGTCATGTGACGAGAAAAGGAGCAACAGCCAAGTTCAAACTAAGCTTGCTCTTCCCCTTTTCTTCTTGAAACACGTGCTCCCAGCAGCTCAAAGCAAAAGGAATCCCACTACTAACCAACAAAATAACATGCTTTCTACACAATGGCAAAGAGGTTAAGTAGTCAAAATAATGTTTTGTTATACAGTACAATGCCAAAATGCTTGTAAACGTATCTATGTATGTTAATAATCACTTCAGTACAGATTTCATCGAGAATCCATTTCCCACCCTTACAATGATGAGAACACCAAAATACAGAGCAGCTTACACATTTAGGTGTATGCGATATGAAATAAGTACATATGTAAGAAAGGTATTCACTTTTGCCAAAGTGAATCCACACATGCATCCATCTTTATGCTAACTTCAGCTGTGCTTATTATTTCCCCTCCCCTTAATGTCTCCTCGAATGCATTTTATCTGTCTCTTTATACGGAATCCTATCATCTGTCTTAAATTATTTTTGGTGCAAAGCAGGGCAAATCTTATTCAACAATGAATCAAGGAATCAAAGCACTTTACACTTTATAGGCTTTTTAGACAACTTATACATTCTTTTTCTCTTCTCCTTAGACAAAAATTTTCTTTAGGCAAAGCTGTTCCTAATGTTTTGGTGTGAATTCTTTTAGACAGTCAGAGTTAAATTATAACACTGCTAATTAACTAATTTCAAATTTAGAAACTGTAGTATCATTTGACTAAAAATTGTTTTTTATGACAGAGACAACATCTTAAAGGCTGTTTAAAAGCCTTTTGAAGCTTTGATATCTTTTATGACACATATTTATGCTTTGTTTAATAATAAGAAATACTTAATAACTATATAAAACTTTGGAAAATACAGAAAAGAATAAAGAAAAAAATTAAAACAACACATGATGCATTCACCCAGAGAAACTGGTGTTCACATTAGTGTATCTTTCTATTCCTCTTTCTCATGCTACAATTCAATCATCTAGATAAGGGGAGTAATAAATAAATAAATAAATAAATAAATAAATAAAGGGGGGGTTCAATGCCAATATCTGGCTTTACGTAATTTTCTCCTCCCCATCAGAGGTCTGTCTTCTCTGGATGATCAGACATAAACAACCCTCATCTTTTTCATGCACAAATACATTCCCACAGACACAGTCTGTCTCTAACTGGATTAGATGCAGTAAGGAGTCAGTAAATTTAATGAGTGCCATAATCAGTTGTTCATGTCTTTGTTTTCCAGTCATTTATATCTGAAACTCACCTACCTTATCAAAATGGTACCTTCTCTTGCTTCACTTAAGACATTCTTCTCTATGCCTATAGAAGAAGCCTCTGTTTTTCTATAGCATCAAATAGGTTGTCTCTAAACTTTACCCTCATTAAAACACATATACCTCTTCCCCAAATCAACTGATCTATACCCACAAGATTAATCTACTAAAAAATACTTGCTACGTTGAGCTGATGTTTTTCTACCTATATGTGCAAGAATCACCTTGACTCTTCCATCTCACTCTTGGTCTCTGAATACTTAATTCAAGATGCAAAAGGTGACATTAAACAATAATTGATGCCTCAAACTCAACAGAAAATATATCCCTGTTATGTAGTGGTCAGTTTCATTACAGTGTGGAAGTAATTCTATCTGGTTTTATGAGGTGTAATTATTTGGAGACATAAAGTAGCCCATACTTCTTAGAAAAATTGTTTACACTAGATTTCTTCCATATCTGTCTATTAGTAGAACAACAGGAGTAGGTTAGTTTGAAAAGACTTTCTGAAAGTCTAAAAAAAGTCTAATCTGAAAAGACTTTCAGATACTTGTTTCTGAGATTAGGTGGAAATCACGGCACATAGACCAGAATGTAGTATTTCTGCCACGAAGTATTAATAAAAATTAATGATGTAATATTCTTCACTAACTGAGAAACGGATCAGAGGTCTACCCAATGATTCTTAACAGAACAAACTACTATCATGAAACAAGGCTCGTATATGAGAGACGAAACCTTATGACATCCCTGTCTCGACAATTCACTCTCTATGGTCAACACCTGGAACGTCACCTTGCGAATCCGGATCGTTCGACTTTGGGCTGCTTCTTGCTCGCCGCTCTGTCTTCTTAATTCCTGGCCCACCGCCGCTGCCCCCTCCGCCACTCCCGCCACTGTGGCCCTTGCTGTAGCCATTGTACACAGTTGTGCAGTTGCTTTTGTAGATAGAAGGAGGGCTGTTGAGGCGGTTCTGGCGATCAATCTGGCGGTCTTTCAGTTTCTTGTGTGGAGGCTTGCTGTACTGGTCTTCTCGGGTTATGTAACTTGACATTCCATAGAGTGGTATGATTTCTAAAATGGAGGATGAGGATAAATACCAGCTCAGTCCATGTTTCCGATAACAGATTATTACATGGTCACATGACCTGGTCCCTAAAGGAAGGAGTCTAAGGTATAAAAGGAGTCTAAAGTATTACTAAACACAGTACAAAAGTACTTTTAAAAAAAAATGCGATATACATTACATATGTTTAAGGCATTCCCATTCATTTCTAGCCAATCAAAGGATAATCGATCATTAAAAATCATACTGCATATTCAAAAATTTTCTATAAATTATGGGGCATACTGAAGAAGACAAGGCTACTGTCCTCAAAGAGTTCATAACCTAGTTGAATTTATAACTAGGTTTGATTTTCCCCTATCAATATGATTTTAGTAATTACAATGCACAAAAAGGTTAGAAGAAATAAAACACCCCCTTTAAACATGTACTTAGAATCAAGACACTTAAAAGTATACTTATCCTTGTAGCCCAAATAGCAATATTATTGCAAAGTGTGTCACAAAACCAAAATACAAGTTATTTGTGGCATTCAAAAGTACTAACATTTAAACAAACTTACTAAAATAATGAAATGAGAAATTTCCATGAAAAATAACCAAAGATCACAGAATCAGGAGAATCAGGGGCAGGATACAGAGGAAGCATAAAGCCATCTCTGCCGTCTGCACCAACTGTAATAACCTGTGGTCTCGAACTTATCTTTTGGAGTAACAGGAAGCAAGACAAAGGCAAAAAGCGCCCTTGCGCCACTGTGCGTATTTTCAAGTGGCTCAAAAGAAAACAGAAGCCTGAAAAATAATAATATGATATTAAGGGGAAACATTATCTTAAATTTAGGTTTTTAAGTCAGTGTGAATTCAGGCACCAGTAAAAATTACAACATACAACACAAAGATTGGTTCTTTATATCTTTGTAAGAAAAAAGAGCTTCCCATTTAGGAAGTAACTATATAAATTACTATCAAAATCTGAACATTCCTGAGACTAAAAAAGGAGTACTACCAACAATTTCTCTAAGACAAAAGGCCTACACCAGGACTGCCCCAGGCACACCAAGAACACAGGTTACCCTACATAATTTAACAACTGATGATTCACATAGCTAAGAAAAGACCTTTAAAAAACAAATTTTTACAAGAGAAGCAGTTCACATTAGAGAAAGTGTAAAAACGAATACAATCCTGTCCAGAGGTTATATACCAAAATAAAGCATGTCAAAACACACCAGAAGGACAGTACATGTACTAAAGGCCATAACGCATTACGTGTGGGATTTAAAACGGTCACCATGGACACTAGAATAAAAATCTTTTAAAACATCATGAGAACTTTTTTAACTCTTATACTTTGGAAAATAAATGTTTAAACTGCTTTTAAGTATGTGGATTGAGAACTAAGATAATATAAAAATGACTTTTTATTTCTAGAGTAAAGGGATTTTGTTTTACTGCTTACTTTAATTTGAAATCAGTGGAGACACTTTTATTTGTACATTACTGTCTTGAGTTACTTTAATTAGACCAATATACACTATAAAGTGAAGGGAGTATAATTTTTTTTATTAATTCCAGTAATGATTTAAATCATACTATTGCCATGCCTAAAACTGCAAAAGATAGCATTTACAAACCAGTATCTATGAGGCATTCTGCTAACAGATTGCTAAAATAACGCAAGTAAGACATACATAGATCAACAAGTGGAGAGTCAGTAACCAAGGCTTTCCCAATGTTATCATGGCTCAGATCCAGCCAGAAAATGGAGAAACACTCAATTATTTAATGTATACTGTATCGAAGCACTAAATATTATTTTCAAGAATCCACAGTAAACTAACTAAATTTTTTCAGGTTTTATCCAAATGTTTTCATAGTTTATGCTCACTACTTGATGTTTTCTTAGTGTTATGTCACAAGGAAAAGAGATCAAATTAATACAAAGTCACTGATGCTACCATAAAATCCAAGTGTTGATTTCAGGTTTTGTTATCATCTATCTGCTCACACTCACAATGAAAGCACTTGATTATGACTTATGTTAAATTTCTTTCAACTAAAACAAACAAAAAAATCCACACATACACACACAAAATAAAATTCTATCCCTGAGGTACAACAGAATTGTTCACTTAAAATTCCCATTCAAAAAAATTTTTTTGTTAAGAAAAAATTGCAAGGGGAGATGAACATACCAGGAAATAATGTATACATCTGCATGTGTGTATGTATACAAATATATATATGTATATATATAAATTGATAAGAAAAAGTGAGGTGATAACTTGCTAAAAAATCCTGTGGTATAATAGGCATTTCTCGTTCAATGTATCTGGACTAACACCAGAAATGTTTGAAACACTAAAATGCTTCAATTCACAGCCAAGGCTCAGGAGAAAATCACTTTGCAAAGTACTAGAGGTTAAAGTCTAATTTTTACCCCCACTTATCTGGTTTCTTAGTATCCATTTTGATAGAGAAGGGCTTTAGACTAAACCAACACCAAGGTCAAAGCATTGGCTGCACTTATGGCTAGTCTTAGTCAACACAGGTTCAGGAGGGCCACGTCACAGTCAGAGGGTCCAGAAAAGCCAAAGGTTACTGAGACTCACAGTCTTCTGATGTTGGAAATAGGGCACAAAACACTTTCTGATTTCCCCTTAACCTCTGGCCCATATGGATGCCAAAGAAATAACAAGGAACAGTTCTGCCTCAGTCACTCGCACGTAAAACACGCTAACAGCACACGGGAACATGTGATAGAGTGCTGCTATTTTCTAATATAACAAGTGGCTATATTGATCTCGGGGGATGGGAGTGGAGGGCAGAATGTGGGGAAACTGAGAGAAAGAAAAGGAGCTACAACCACAAAGTAACTTTTCTAAGATACAATACAGGACAAAGAAAACTAGGCCTTTCCCACGAGCTCTCTACACCAGGTAGATCCCTTTCTACTAGGCTTACTTCAGAAGAAACAAAGAGCTGTCTTAAACTACTAAAGTGCTGTAACCAGTTTCAACAGCCCTGGAAGCCAGCAGTCCTCCACTCACCTTGCTCACCATAGATTGTGGGGGGAAGATGATGCTGAGGAAAAAACTGAGGCGGCATGTCTCCGGGCCCAGTAACGGGTGGGTAGTAAGCCGTGTGCGAGTTATGAATAAAATGGGGGTGGTGAGTCAGGTAGGGGGCGAGATGATGGGTGGGAGACATGGCTGAGGGGTAGCTTGGGGGATAACACTCCGGAGACTGGGGCGTGACCACCACCCGGCGGACTCCGGCACTCTCTTCAATCACCTGAAGGAAAAAAACAAAAGCAGAGAATGTAGTATACATTATCAGCACCCTGCGAACATTACAATATTAATAACTTCCCCTTTAGTTTTCTCTTCCCTCATAGAAAAAAACGGATGCATGCTATATTCTAGTCCTCTAGTTCAGTCAGTAGTGAGTCCTAGAAATAACCATAATTAACTATCAAAATTTACAAAAACAAACTATTCATCAACCATGTGGTTCTGATTCCACAAAGCTTTTGGAGAGACCGATAGCTTGGTAATGCATCTGAATTTTGTCATAAAATTTTCACTGGCTTCACCCAAGACAAGTGAGTTCAATGTGTGATTAAATCAATTTTAGGAATGAGTTTGAATATAACTATCAGTTCAGTGGCTTTCCAGAAAGAGGTTTTCTGGGCCACATCAGTACGTTGTCCAGAGCTGGTCTTCCAGAAATATCTGACAACATTCTGCCCCATTCCTGCTTTAATACACGTCATTCCAACATCATAAGGGCTTTAGGAAACAATGGGGATATTAATGTCAGAAGCTATAAGAGTGCCTTAAAGATAATTTAAGCTGGGATGAGGATGTGGATGGAATGAAGGAATTCTGACCAATGAAAAAAATCGAGCAATCCCAAATCAGGACAGACAGCTTTGCTCCCAAGATGTCTTGATGATGTGGCCAGTACATGAAAGAAGACGCTTGGAAGAGCAGGCTTACCAGCAAAGCAATCAACATTCTATCCATACTTTCTCCAAATGTTTGTTTACTCTTTAGAGACGAGGTTTTGCTATGTCGTCCAGGCTAAAGTCTCCTAGCCGCAAGGAATCCCTGTGCTTCAGCCTCCTGAGTAGCTGGGACTACAGGCACACACCACCACACTCTCGGCTTCTCCAAAAGTGTTTTAATTCACCCAAGGAAAGTAACTAAGGCAACCCAGAGTCAGTATTTACTGTTACCCACATCATGCCACCTGTTGCTCCTGAGACACAATAGACACCATCACCCAAAGGTGAAGAAGCACGGCACAGAGAGTGGCAGAACGGGAAGAAGGGTCAGGAAGGGCTTCAGGGACCTCAAAGAATTGGAAAGACTGGGATAACTCAGGGTCAGACCTTGCAAGAAAGGGGACAGAGAATCAACTGGAAGCCAGGACCAGGCTGCCGAGAGGACATGCCAGCTGATCTAATCAGGTTCCTAAGACAATCAGGCAAACACTCTGACAGGAAGTTTGTTTAAAAAACAACAACAACAACAACTAAAAACCCACCAAACTGAAAACGAGATTTCTCATTACACCTCAAAAAGTTGATTACAGGCCAAAAGTAAAATGACTTAATCATGTCTAAAACATTCTAACAACAAAAAACTATACTTAGCTTCATTAAAAAAAATTGCTTAAGCCAAACTGGCAAGTCTCTCAATGTTCCAGCTATACTTCAGTGAACAAGACAGGTTTAGTTTGAATTAACAGCCATTAATCTTTATGTTAAGAAAACAAAAATCTTGATATTCATTAACAAACCTACCTCACATAAATGTTTCTATCATGTTAATAATTCATTAACAAAGCAATACTGACTTCTTGAAATTAACATTCCTAATTACACGCCTTAAGGAAGCTCAAGACACAGCTTTTTGTGTGTTCTTTCACAATCACAACCTCTTCCAGGCTTTGGCAAGCTTACCACACCAACCCCACTTATGAATGCAGGGTTGCTAATTTACAAGTGTATGTGGAATGGATATGTAAACCAAGACACTGAAAGTTCACATGCATGTATCATACATCATTATCACCAAAGCATCTTCTACTTTGTCTAAAACATAGGGCATAAACACACTGTTTGGCAGCCAGCACACTCTGTGCAATTTTAGTATAAATATGTTACAAAGTTTTCTTCCCATCAGGTACAAACATTCATTACTCTACAGTGTCTTCTTTTCAACCCCCACCTCCCACTAGGTATTAAGCAAAGAATAGAGCATATTCCATATGTCTCTCCTTAGAGGTACCTTCACTCAATCCTGGCAGGTCACAGAAGTAAAGCATTATTTTCCTTTATTCTTTCATTCAGTGTAAACAGTCAACCAGCCACACAGACCTGACTGATAAAGCAAAATAAGAACAGGGCTCTCACTAAATATAAAGAACTTTTTGAACTTTTAAACCAAAGTTGTTACAATGAAAAAATTTATTTTCATTTTCACATATAATTGTTGACATATTAAAACAACATGGTTTCTAAAAACAATTTGTCAAGGAGCACAAAGACAAGAATTCCAATTTTAAAAAAAACCAAAATGGAGATACAGAGGTGAAAGATTATATTTTTACTACTATATTTTACAGTAATATTAATACTACTTAAAAAATTAATAAATTTCAATCTGAAGTATGAACTACCCTATACACACACAAAAAAGGTCTCCATCTAGAAAACTAAGTAGGCTTTCTGAAACCACAAATTGCCTACACATATAAAAATTGTTTGACAGCCCCATTTTTAAATTATCCTGTGGTATTTGTAAAAGATATTTACAGGTGCATGCATAATGGAACACCTTCAGAAAGCTGTTCTTACCAAACCCAGGCGTGTCTTGGCATTAAGAAGATTGACTTTTGTTTTGGTTTGGTTTGTTTGGGTTTTTTGTGCTTGTGTGTGTGAGTTCCTTTTTTTTTATTTTAAAGATGTGGGGTACAATTTAGGGTTAGGCATATAAATGTAAGAAGACTGACTTTTTAAAAAATGAAATACTAATTCTGAAATATGTAGAAACAAGCATCAAAATGTGCTAAATATTTTGTTTACTGTTTTTCTTTAACATAAATTGAAACATATTTTAGTTATCAAATTCGGTTTTGATCTATGTCTAAGGAAATCATGACTTTGTTCCCCCAAAGAATAAGAAAGTCTGAAAAACAGTAATAATAATAATGTGCAAAATAATAAGCAGCTAAGGAAATGGTGGCAGCAACATTCTTTGTTGAATAAAGTTGGTTCATAGGTATATCACTATAACAGAAGAACTCAGACATCAGAAAGAATTCAGTCCAACAATCCCAAGGCAATAAAACACGCCTTCGATCTTTGTAGGTGACAATGGAAAAGACAGATTCATTTCTTTTGGGGATGACTGAAATTGGGACAAAGTTCAGAGGCAAACAAATCACCTGCATTATATTCAACAATCATTTCCTGACACATGCTATGTGCTAAGCACTGGACATTCAAAGGTGAGGGGGAAAAACCTGCTGCTAAACAGTAAAACTTATCCATATAGCCTAAGGATAATACAAAGAGAAAAATGGCTACAGAAATCAGAAGTACTGTGATTTCAGAAATCAGAACAAGTCATGTTTTTTCCAGCTCTGTAACTCAAAAAAACGACATCACTCATGTAGCTGAAGTACAGAACCTTGGAAAAGATCACTATGCTAAGTTCTCAGACTGCCACCTATTATGGGCTGAACTGTGTGTCCCCAAATTCATGTGTTGAAGTCCCAATGCTCAGAATCTCAAACTGTGACTGTAATGGAAAGCAGAGTCTTTCAAAGAGGCAATTAAGGTAAAATTAGGTCACATGGGTGGACTGTACTGTAACATGAAAGAGGAACTTTGATCAGGACACAGACATGCACAGAGGGAAGACCTAGGTGAAGACCCTGAAGGTAGTCCATAATCTACAAGCCAAGGAGAGAGAAGCCTTAGATTAAAAACCAACCTACTCTGCCAACACCTTGATCTTGAACTTCTAGCCTAGAATTGTAAGAAAACACAAAAGTACATTTATGTTGCATAAGGTACCCAGTCTGTGGTGCTTTGTTATAGCAGCACAAGTCAACTAATATACTGCCCATCAGAGCCTACGAGCACGAAAGCTGAACCCAACTTTCTTTGGCCTTAAGTTCCACAAGCCTTGTCTGCTTAAAGAAAACACTCCTTTAGCCAGGCTTGGTGGCTCAGCCTGCAATCCCGTGCGTTGGGAGGCTGAGGTGAGTGGATTGCTTGAGCCCGCGGGTTCGAGACCTGCCTGGGCAACTTGGCCAGACCTCACCTCTACAGTAAAATCAAAAATTAGCCGGGTGTGGTAGCGCGCGCCTGTAGTTCCAGGAAGGCTAAGGTGGAAGGATCACCGGGGCCAGCAGGTCGAGGTTGCAGTGGCCGGGAGAGGCCACTGCACTCCAGTCTGGATGACAGAGTGAGACTCCAACTCAAAAAAGAAAAAGAAAAGAAAATAGTCTTTTAAAAAGTGATGCACTTATCCTCCATGAACAAACACCAGCCACCTTCCTCAGGCTAACAAAGAAATGCCAGCCTGACAGCAACTGGCAGCTAACTTGAATCTTCATCATGTCTTTTTATCCAGTTCAGTAGGCATTGCTGGAACTCTTCTATGTGCCTAGTACTCTTGCTCTCCTGTGGTCTAGAAACAAGGATAAGTGGCTGGAGAATAAAACACAAAATGTTACACGGGAAGGACCCGTCTTACTTACACAGTGTTTTTATAAATATGACCAAGAGAACCACTGAAATGAAATGAAATGAAAGTGAAGCAGGCTGGAGACAGCACGAAGGAGAGGTCATGGAACAGGAACAGCACGAGAGGGAGATGAGAAAGGCCCTCGCAGCCGGTGTCTATGGCCGCCAGCTGCTCCACACGACCTTACTGAACTTCCCCAACCACTGCAGAATTAGCTATCAGCACCCCTGATTTACACAAAGGTGGCCAAGGCGCAGCATGACTAGCGTGTACGACGAGGCATGCTGCAGAACAGAGACTTTCGCACTGGCCTGGACACCCAAGTTTTCATCGTGTGGAGAACTATACAGAAGCTGTATGCTAAGAAGTAAATACATCAACACATAGGATGCCTGGGTGATTACACAGTGGGGAAAGGATTCGAGATGCAGCCAACATTTTTTGATCCTGCTGCTCCACTGCAATGCCCTCAACCCGAAAGGGGTCAGCACATGTTAAGTTCCGGAAACAGAACACGACCCGCAATAA